GATGATGATGATGATGATGATGATGATGATGATGATGATGATGATGATGATGATGATGATGATGATGATGATGATCACTCTGATGACAAAACACGTGTCTAACAGGTTAGGGGGGAAGAAATTGAGCGACCCCAAAAGACCCGCATCACTGTTTTCTTCTCAATCTGAACGAATAGCGTACTCCAATTTGGCGAACAGAAACCTTTGTTCCAAACAGTGACAATGACCAATGCGGTCTACGAGATGTTACATGGTCTGACTGAATTTATAGCTACCGTAGTGGTAATTGCTGTTGAAATAGTGTTTTGAGGTACCACTCACATTTATAAATGATATGTAAACTAGTGCGGTTGGCGTTATCCTTCAACGATTAATAATTACCAACACCACTCAAGGCGTNAGGCGTAATTCTGTGCCTCATTGGATAATTACAGCCTGCTCTATGCATTACCCGGTGTGTTCCCGGGGATTGCGATGACATGTTTCTGGTATATGCGTGCCAAATTACTGATATCCCAAAAGCAATCTGTAATAAACGACTATTCTCGACTAGGCATCTCCTTGTGGAATTATAACGGTAGAAGTAGTAGATACTGCTGTTCTTGTTGTTCTTGTTCTTGTATTTTCCAACCACTGAGCCATACCAGTAATGTATGCTTCAGTGAATGGCGTAAGAAAACGTTTATGATGGTTGTCCTCAGAGACCGCATGACCATCAATAAATTTAATTTTACGCATTTTGATCGCAGGAATCTTGGCGTCTGTACACAATTCTTATCGGGTTGATTTTATATGTCTCTCTGTTACCAATACGCTTCAAAAATTTTCCACTCCACGCGGTTGCTCCACGGTTTGTTTAACGAACTTTACGCAACACTTCTATGCACTGTTGTTACATGCGCTGTTCCGCTTTTCTTAGCTGAACTAGGTTAGAAACAGATGTAGTAAAACTCAATCGTCTGCATGTATTCTTGTTCACAATGACAAATAAAACAGATCAGGATGCACGTATCGCCTGTGTGAAATCGGTGCTAACGAGAAAAATCGAATGATGACCAGAAAATAGAAGGGTTGTAAATGTTATTCTGAATTCGTTCAGAATCACACTCTATTTAATGCTTTGATTCCACATCTGTCTCGCATCGTTTATTTGACGTGATATCTTGTCAAAACGACTGTTCGATTACTGTAATCCCCGAATCGATTGCAGATTTTCAAAACTTATCGGTTGATAAGGATGAATCGAACAAACGTAAGAACATCTGACCAAAGTACCGTCACTGGTAGTATATAAATAAATATATATTTTTTTACAAACGCCTGAGTTCAGACAGTGTGTTAAACAAATCACACTAAAGTCATCTTTCTAAAAACAAAAAGTGTCCAGGATTTTCTCCAGAGCAAGATCCAGCTAGGTTACCCAGGCCAGAGCAGGTGAATTTTCTGAGGGAGTTCACAACCGGAGCCTTCGGTTAACCAAAGCCTGACCCACAAAGCAGCGGAATGGTACGCGAAAACTGCAATCCATTGAGGGTAGGGGTCCAGATCATCGAATCATACGCCCTTTGGACAAAGTTAAACGTCCAATGTACTCCAATGAGCCCGTGCCCACTGCCGCAACCAGGAGCTTGCGTGTGTGGTACAAGCGCCTCCATTTGTTTGGTTTGAAACCAGGGTTTTCACCAACCTGGTTATAGCCCCCGATTTTGTTTTTTCGTTCTCTAACTTTGATGAGAAAATAACTCTGCCACGAGAAGGCACTGAGTAGGAGTTTCTCAGCAGAGGCTATTTGATACTCTTGGTCGTACGCGAGCGATTCTCGAGGTGCGAAAGAGGGGTGACCAAACGCAATCTGAAACACCCACTCTCGACTACACTGAGGCTTTATGAGACCCCTCACTGGTAGGATTAGTTTTTCATAATAATCAGAATCAGACACAGGATATATCAAATCAAATTAGATGAGATAATGGCCTGGCCAGACGGCATTAAAATTGAATGCCAACTTTCAGAACGTCTAGAGCATAGCTTACAGATCGTGAGTAGAAAGCCCTTCTGTGGACTTAAGATGAGCATTGTTCACCGATGCAAAACTATCGCACTGAAGATCGTTTTTCATCATAGTTTGACTGAGATGATTAACGGCAGAGTGAGGNAGAGTGAGGTTCAAGCTGCCAACCAATTCGAATGATAGCAGTGGAAGCATCAATCAGTCAATCGATATTACGGGTTATTCGACTGAGGCTGATCAAGTGTCACTTGTCATACAGAATAAGGTAGGCCATGTGAACCGCACAACAGGAAGATAGGATTTATAATGAGGTGAATCGTTAGAAAACAAAACTTATTTTTCATTTTCAAGGATTCGTATCGAAAACCATAACCGTTTTGATCTTTCAAGGGAATGAATAAGGCAGTGACTAGCGTTTCACTTGGGAATTCATCTGTAAATGTTAAAAAACGTGCGTTCCCACTTTTCTACTGAGCAAACCATAACCAATCTGAAGGATTGAGACAAGGAATCCCGTTCAGGGGATGAGCCAATCACTATTTAAATTAGCCGTTTACTCAAGTGCATGAAGGTAATGATCAGAGATCAGTGAGATCTACTGATAATCAAATGGATTTACCTCACAATTTCATCAAGACATTCCCCAAGATGCAATTACAATGGCTGGTTTGAAACTGGCTGAAACTAAATACCGGGCACTGCCATCAGATTTGCACTTTCCAAAGATCAGCTCTGACGATCCGATAATGAATACTAAACAGACAGATATGACTGCACCAATGGTTACTGACTACTAATTCGATAGCCCGAATTTAAATTGGACTTCAAAACAGATTAGGCACGTTCGGTTTTGTGGCTCATTTTGAAATTCACTACCATGATCAAACATACCGACCTCGTTTTGATGTGAATGGAAAACATTGACCTCTCTCGGATACCCACCGCGAAGTCAGTCAAGAGCGGAACGGACCTCGGGGTCGTGTCGAATCAACTGCAATGCACACAGCCAACTCTGAAATGTGACCCCAAAATAGATATTTCAAAGTTGTGAGTAAGATTAAGTGGCGAGGCCATTGGTCAGTGTAGGTAGAGTAGCAGTGTCCTTCATGACAGATAGCTTGCAGCACAAAAACCTTCACTGACCCCCCGATGAATTGCTGTCTTGTATTGCAGCCGAAATTTATCTTGGTGTTGAACAGTTGCTACGACTCAAGAGCCGTGGGACCGGTCGATAAACCTCATACAATTTACCGGAAATTAGAGCTGAATTGGTCACTAAATGGCAATGCTTTCATTAGAGCATAAACTAAAAGGCAAGCGTGAGTGATCCAAAGAGGATGAAGAGACAATGATACCGCTGATACTGTTGGTGGTGATGATGATGTCGGCAGCGAATGGAACACAGGGTTAGACGTGCAAAGAAAGCCGAGTTTATTATTCAAACTTTGTAGGATTTTGTCTGACATACTTTCATCGACCTCTTGTTTACTGTTTTTAAATCTTCTCATAATAACCAATATACGAATATTTTTTACACAGCACTTGTTAATTATTGCTTTCAATGAGAAAAGTATGATTTTATTAGAAAAAGGACGCACACACGTATAAACGTTTATATTTATATGCACAGTAGGCAAAACTAAGCCTCACGATCCACGAAAGAATACATATTCACGTCTGACATATTCAAAAGTGTCGGCATAATCAGAGAATGTACCGTTCTCGGACCAGTACGAGTGCGAAATTGTAACTGTTCCTCCCCAACTGTGAATAAATCTCTCCATTTGGACTCCCGAATTACACCTTGACTCGGCATTTGTAGACGATGGTTCACAAATGCGTATCGTTTCCCGAGTGACCAACAAGAAGTGTATCCCCAAGGACCGGCACCTTCATTCACATGGGAGTAACCGAACACAGCACAACCACCGCTTTTACCATACACCTGTCTTATATACCCTAACGTGTTGTACGGTGAGGGATACCAGTCCAATCCTAACGGTCGAAACATGAGTGGAAATATGAGATCTTTGAGCAAACGTTTTTGACTTTCTTTCTCGTTTGCAACGTCCCAAATGTGTGTGTGGTTCGAAATAAAATATCCAATATCCAAGTAAGGCCAACCCCAGTTGTATCTGGATGAATGACGACTGAGTTCAATGTCCAACTGCACGAGTGAATTGTTACGAACTAAACGGGTGTACAGTTTATCGTGTTGTGGATTTGTTGCCAATCGATAATCCGGCCCCAGTGCTTTCAACAATTTTCGCACAGTATCACGAACACGGATGTCCACTAACACATCCACATCATCATCCCAAGGCACAATATCATGATGCTGAAACGATCCGACCAGTGTGCCACCGTTCAGCATAAATCGATCACCCAATCGATTTTTGAACATGACCTTGGAGAACAGTTTGAGCAAGCGTTTGGACAGATTGCGTTGACCGCAACTCATTACCGGTTCAAATGCTTTAGGCAGTGGGTAAAAGGTGCCGTTAGGATATTGTCGTCCGGTTGGTAGGGGAGCACATGGTGGTTCTGGCCAGTCTAGTGATGAGAGATCGGGTAAAGCATGCCACGCGTTCTCGGATGTGCTCGGTAGAACAAAAAACGGTTCCACGGCGATGCGTTTCGGTCCGGTTGTGAACCAAGTCCAGAACATGAGACAAGGGCACATGACAACAAGCACTTTGATAATGACGAGTACATTTTTTCGTAAAATGTTTCCGCAATATATTGCTGGCATTGTCTGTCAAAAAGAGAGGGAGTTAAAACAGAGTGATTTTTGGTACATAATTGGTTCTTGAATCCATCTACATGATTTGCTTAATCGGCGTGAGACATATCACTTTCCCGATGTTTATGATAACTGCCCTCCCTAGATTTGTACTCTTGAAAAAACTGGGATAAACCGTGAGTAATATCACAAATTTTACCACTAGTCCCGTCTAATGGTTACTTTGCAAATGTCAAACATCTTGAACAAGGACCGAAAATAAACTACTGAATAGGTGTGTTCACTTTGTTGGTACCTGCAGGCAGTGTGTGCTATCATTGTGTCCCAACTAGGTCTAAGATCACGGTGTTACGTTGTGTGTGCCGACAGTCGTACCCCTGAGATACATGGTCGATGACGAATGGATTGAGCGCAGGCTTGTATAACCTGAATACGATCTAATTTTATACCATAGGAATTCTCCGAAACTCCAGGTTTAGCTGTTCCAATGTAATTGTCACTCCTCGGCAGTTTACCTATTCTCAATGTTTGCGCGTATGATAAACGATATATTCGGCAACCATTTTGCTTGCGATCGAAGAGAAACAAGGAAATCTGAAAATTTTGATATAAAGTGCTATATCTAAAGAATACACTCAACAGTATATCCCATGAATAAATACTGTCCCAATAGGGGTATTGACGATATACGGGATCAGAAATGGATTAGGTAAATGACTCAGAAGTCGACAAATTCCAATCCAAAACGAGACTCTCAAGTCGGTCTAATATATGTAGACTACCATCGACTTACACTATAATCCGGAAGCGACTGGTTGATCGAAAAAAACAAAAAAATCTGCGCGAATACGAAAATTGTTTAGTGCAATCTCAATTTGATCAATCGATACACTTCATATGATGCAGTAGCAAGAGACGGTTGAATAATACACGTAGACTGAAATCTTAATCAAACCGTGCTGGCTCTGAGACTTTCTACCCAATAAATGAAGTCAAACGTTACTACTTCCCTCCATGTTCTATATTGAGAGCTTACTACTTCCATAATGTACTTTGTATCAATATTGATAAAATACCCAAAAAGTTTGGTATTACCCAGATATCCTGATGCAAGTGCTTAAAATAAGCACTCAGACAGTTTTTTCTTTAATGCATTCACCTAAGACTAACTAAGTTTTGCCTTTCAAACTGATCACCAGAAGCACGGTCGAATGGATTTCAATGAGCATCGGCAAATTAGGTAACAGGAAGTTGGAAGAAGAAGTAGGCGGGGCTACTGATCCAAACTTCTGATCAATTTTGGCCAGTAAGATCAGAGCTCGATAGTTTGTCATGTGAAACGCACCACAGTTGGGTGTTCCGACAACGCAATGCAAAACCACTGCAGCAGATGGGATAACTAAAGCTCCGATTAGTAAACCGTTGAGAGAAAAGAAAACGTGCAATCGATCAAGCAGATAAGTAAGATGTAAAGAAAAAATAATTTGGCATTCAAACAAATTACATATCTAACTAGTAAGTCAGGTACACCTAGATTATGCTTTGAGAATATCGCTCTGTATGAGTCCTTTCATCTTCCGATCAAGAAAACCAGAAGATTTGATGCTAGAGTTTAATTGTCAGATATTGCGTTTCTCATACAGATTTTTGGAATTAATTTGCAATACTGTTATATTAAAACGATCTGGGAGGTGAGTACAGCTGGCTGGCCGTTGATATCACAGCAAAACATCTAGTTGGCCATTTGCAGCAGACTATTGGTACGGTTCGTATTCGATGAAACTGAGCTTGTCAAATGTAGCAATTCAGGGTAGATATACTGAGATCAATTTTTAAAGGAGTTTCTTTACATTGAGGAGTGTTTCCGTAGGTGATACAATAGTGATTTATCAACGAATTTCACTCAAGACGGTTCGGGAGTGTTTTGCTTTGTTCACGGAATTTTTTACTCAGAGTCTTATCCCTGGCTCTGGAACGAGTTCTTTTTTTAAAACAATTTCTGTTTATTGCAGAATTTCAACTATTTAAAAGCTTAGTTTACTCCAACGCGATTTACCTCATCACAATTTAATTTCTGTGTATTATTAATTGTAACAACAATTAAATCGTGACTGCAAGGCAATAAATATATACGTGAAAATATACAGTAATGATGCGCAATTAAACAATTTGTACAGGAATTACATTTGCTTAGTGTATGAGATAATTATTCTACATTTCATACAAAAGGATCAAAGAACTAGTATCGAAATTCAGTAGATCAACTGATATCACCCCGGATAAATTTTCTAAATGTTTTCTCTCGAGTTTTTCATCAGCATGTTATTTGGTAACTCAAGTGTTGCTCTCTCATACTTCATCAATATCCCCCCCCCCATTATACACATATACTTACCCCAATGTGTATTGCCTTTCCACTATGGTGCAATCGCCGCCATAGAAAGAAACTACCGATAATTTTATAAATTTTGATCGAGGATCTCACAATTGACCCGTATCCGTCATAATCACCAAAACGGTTGCACTCAAATGGAGGAAAGCAGTTCCTATTAGATAGATACTTGATAAACTGGAGCGATCAAGTGGGTTCATGGTATCTATGGTTTCTTAACTGTTTGTAATGAAGAGCAAGCTATGCTGCATTTGTTGTAGTTAGTAAACACCTAATCACGTGCACACACGTACATACATGCGAAAACTGGCAATCTCGTTTGCGCAATGATGCCAATAGTCGTGCAATATCACAATCACTTCCTACTCCCTTCCCCGTTTCCGGTCTCTCACTGATAAGCAGTTGTACACGTGAAGGGAACAAGGGCTTACTTTCCTGACACTTCGCCCATATTCACATCCTGGTAGTTGGATTGCGATACTCTGGATTTACAGCATTGATTCCGGAGGGGTGAGGGAGAGATTGGTTTGGGTTTAAATGGCGGGGATGTTGGAAAACCGGAGACAACAAGAAAATGGAGAAACTGTTTGAGTTTGTGATTATAAACGAAGGAAGATAACTTTTGGTATGATCGATTTTATCCCAAATCGAGGAATCAATAGATAAGCGATTATTCTTTAGTTCTATGCTCCATTCTCGTGGCCTTGTACATTTTTATTACTGTTATAAATGAAGGAACGGTTATCAATGAAAAGTCGCCCGGATTCATCTGAATAACAATCAAACAAGCACCAAGTCATCCACATGATCCATTGAGACTTTTGCGGAATTCGTGCTCCAGTGCACTAGTCACTTTGTCAACCCGCGCTGTGGATGGTCGAAAAATCAATATAATGACTTAATGGTCATTTGCTCAAATGGTCTGCTTCGGTATTCGATCAAGTACTCATTTCATTCTCTTTTGGTGTGCTGGCCTGCTGGACTGATACCATCACGCTAGTTACATGGCGAAACGTTGAACGTGTACAGGATAACTCATGAACCGGGTGAAAATGTCATTCACAAGCAAAAAGCCAATAATCAACAGTCGCACTCAAGATTATACAGTTCTTTATTTCAATCACGGAAACAGCAATGTTTGCGGTACTGTCTTCAACTACACGCTTCGAAAAGTGAACAGACAGAGCTCATCTGTGTTACTGAAATCAGTTTTCAAACTCACCCTTTTACCTTAATCAATTTGAATTGTGGAAAGTACATTGGAAAGTACATGTCCGAGAATAGTTGTGTTTCACAAATGATTCCTTCCGGGTTCGTTGTAACGCTTACCGAAGTTCAACACTGTGCTGTCAATAATTTTCATTTTTCTATGAAAACTAGTGTACCCTTCTAGTATACGTTGTGTCCCCTGAACAGACCGCAACAAGCAAGGTGTAAACCCAGTGTTAAAGAGATTACATAGAACAAAACTTTCAGAGAGGAACTGAATGGTTCGATCGCGGTTGATACTGTTCACATCGTACACTTTTTGAAATGGTTTGTTCATCATTGCAGTCGGCGAGGGATCGCTAGCAGCTTTGGTGACCTTCACATCATCTGTCTGGGTTCTGGTCTCTTATTTAGCATTATGTTATTGTGGTGAGACAATCCTCCCAGATGACCCA